CCCCAAAACCCCAAAACCCCAAAACCCCAAAACCCCTTTACAAATTTTTATTATAAAAATGGAGCAACAGGAAATTCCTGAATTAGATCCATACATTTATCTATGATTGCTAGTCGGGATTCCTGCTAGTGGCAAGAGCACATTCTGACAAGAAATTATTACTGCTGCTCAAAGTTCAAGCCCTTCTTTAAAAATCATTCAAATTGAATATGATAAAATTGAGGATGAAATTTCATCAGAATTTGAACCCGAAAAATGGAAGGAAACAAGATCTATTGCCTTCGGAAATATTTCTAGCCTTCTTGAACAAAAAGTGTCAATCCCGACAATCATTTTAGTAGATGATAACTTTTACTACAAAAGTATGAGGAAAGAGTTTTATAAGCTCGTAATTCAGGCTAATAAAAATCTTGAAGATACCATTAGATACACAGAGATATTTATAGATGTATGCTTTCTGCTTTACTTTAGACACCTGTAGAAACTGCCTTAGAACGAAATCAAATTCGTGAGAGGTCTGTCCCTGATACTACTATTATTCGGTAACTAAGCTTTTAATCATTTTTAGGATCAATAAAATCATAGAGCCAGCTTACTCTTACTGCTACAATGCCAGATTCTCATCTTTGCCAGATTTCATTGAATATTTACACACCTTACCAGTTCCACCTTGCCTTGAAGAACAAGAAAAGATCCCAATGACTCAGTCTGAAGCCCATGAACTTGACTTAAAGCTCAGAAAAGTTGTAGGAAGTATCTTAAAGTCCCACAAGCTCCCAAAATCTGCAATAAAGGCTTTGACTCAATTAAAGAAAGTCTTTCTCAAAGAGGTGGCAGCAGGGTCTGATAAAACCGAACAAGACTTCCGAAATGAAGTTCAAAATTTGATAGATCTACATAAATCCTCTTAAATCTATTTCGATTTCTTCAAGATTTCTAAATTGGTATTTGTACTGATATACTTTCCTAATTTTACATTAGACTAGTTTTATCCACATCTGCTAATCCAGATACAAACTCCTCTTCATAACCATGGAGTATACCCTACTAGGATACACCACTGCAAATCTCTGTATTAAAGCGAGGCTTAGGGATTAATGTTTTATAATATCAGTTCAAAGGCCATGCGAAGGGGTTTTGGGGTTTTGGGGTTTTGGGGTTTTGGGGTTTTGGGG